ATAATAATAATAATATTATTATTATTATTATTATCTCTCTGCATCTTTTCGTCGAATACGTCATTGCAGTGAAATGAACCTCTCTCCTAGGTAAATTTGACGTTCCGGACGCAATCGCACAGTCCGTTTCGTCATTCGGGGTCGTTCGGACCACTTTTTCAGCAATTTGGGTAAAAACAATAATTTGCGCATTTTTTTACCCGTATTCGAAGCGTTAACGACATGGGTGCCCTCATTAGATAATATCGACGTCTCGGACACATGACATTAAAAAAATGATGCAAACAGTGTCGAAGCCCGAAGCCTGAAAGTGTCAAAGCCCAAAAGTGTCGAAGCCCAAAAAATATCGAAACTTGAAAATGTTGAAGCCCAAAAGTTTTGAAGCTCTAAAGTGCCGAAGCCTGAAATTGTTGAAGCCCAACAATGCCAAAGCCCGGAAGAGCCCAAGTCTGGAAAGGCCGAAGCCTGAGAGTGTCGAAGTCTGAGCAGTGTCGAATCCCAAAAGTGTCGAAACCTGAAAATTGCCGAAGCCCAAAAGTGTCGAAGCCTGAAAATGTTAAAGCTCAAAAAGTAGAAACCTAAGAGACAACTCCTGAACCATAACATAATTCGAGCAAAGAAAAGCAAGAAATCATTTATCATTGTCGTCCAGAAATCATTTATCATTGTCGTCCATTATCATTGTCGTCCAAAAATTCGAATAATAGCCACAAGAAGGATCCGCTTTCTGTTATACGATCCAAACGTTATTGATTCTTCCTACGACGACGATGAAGATTTGTTCCCTAATTTTCCCGCGATGCAGTCAAAGTAGAAGAAATCCATGAGAGCGTCTCCATGTGGTCAAAGTAGGTTTTCTTTATCGCTTCCTCCTCACTTCCAACGACCTTGGCTAGGGTTTTGACATAGCAATCGATCATCTGCTCTTTAGTAGCGTTCTCCCCGCCTGGCTTATCTATAACAATGAGTCAGTGCTCATAATCGCAGCCAGGGAACAGAGGAATCATCTCAGTCGGCGGCATGTTACTGAATCCGTCGTCGGATCTTGAGTTGATAGGTGAGTAGGGAGAGTCACCTGACTGATTGATTCTGCAACGGATTTGGTTGAGCCTGGCAGCGCCAGCTCCAGCTACGAGCCGCACGGAAGCATAAGGTATCGGACGACGGCGCATGATGTCGATGTCGCCGATCATGGAGGAGACAATGCCAATAGGATGCAAGGAAGAGGGAACGGCAGAGTAGAAGAAGCGTTTCGAGAACATTAGACTTAGGGTCGAGCAGAACGACGGATTTGCCCACGCCATCGAGACGGCGAAAGCAGAGACGGCCATCTAAGAGACGATGGCAAGGAAGAAAGTGTTTTAGGGTAGAAAAAACCTTCCTCCCTTCCCGCAAGAAAGTCGGCGAGAAGGGAATCTTGACGGTTCTTCAACGACTATCGATGATCAGGGCAAAAATTTAGGCTATGATACTATGTCAAAGTTTTGAGAAAAATAGGTTGAATACTGAATAGGCTCGATTGCCTTTTCCCTTTGTTTTCATTCCATTAAATAACAATCTTACAATCTATTTTAGGTACAAAATAAAGTGCATATAATTTATTTTAGGTAACTTAATAATACATATTCCTAATCTAAATATTCAACTAAAAGGGAAATGTATCATAATAAAGATATTGGAAATAAGGAAGCTTCTAATTATAGAAAACTCTTAATTTAGCTGTCTGATTTCCATCCTTCCTGATTGACAACTAAAACTCTCCAAAGAACTTCTCTTGAGATTGTATCGTAATCTTTTTTCTAAATCAATAAAAATCATATGCATATCCTTCTTACTCTCTTTGTACTTCTCGATCAAACCTCTCAATAAAGTTTAGGTGTGAGACATATAAATATAAAAGAATTGTGTGTTACGTATGTAATCCTCCATTAAACAACAAAAAATAATTAAGTCGTGCTCAAATCATTGCTTTATAAGATGCTTTCATCGAGAATAAGCGCATAGATCTCTATCACACTCCATGATCTAATCACATGTTTAGAATAACACTTTTGAAAAAAGATATAAAAATAACATCTTCATTTGAAGTTTAATAGCCTTCACATCTGAATCAAAGTGAATAAAACTATTAACAGGACTTTACCGCACACCCCTTGGAGCATTAAGAAAATGGTTCAATTAAAGAGAACTTAATCACTCTCCAATGATGTAGTCTACTATAATCATTACAATTGAAGTATAACTATACTAAAATAATCATCATACGAGAATATTCTTCATATATAACCTTTTATCAAATAATCAAGTTGTTCTAGTTTAAAGAATATCAATTTGTTTTTTTAGCTTCTTACATTATGTGCAAGCTTGTTCAAGTTACTAAGGCAAATAAATATAAACAAAATAAAAGCAAACAAAGAATAATTATCAAGCCAAGGCTGGTACAAATGAAGAGATAGCCTTATATGCCAAAACAACTCAAGTATAAGCATCAGATGAAGACACTAAAAAGATAGGAAGATTTACATACATACCGCACAATTCTTATGTATCTACAAACCTAACACCTGAACTTCAATTTTTATGTATATGTCACCTCGCCTATGCATGAAAGGGTGCATTTCACTTTTAAAAGTTAAAATGGTAGTATTTTTTATGTGATATGAAAGATTTGGGTGGTATCAATGTAAAAAATCAAAGTTTAGGTGTTAGTTATGCAAAATACATAAGAATTGGGTGATATGTCTGTAAATGCCCCTACAATAAAATAAATAGGAATAAACATAACGCAAAACTCTCTGCAAGGTTACCTATGAAAGCAAACTAGAGAACATCAGCAATAAGTAAACTTTAACTATCAGCACAGTATGACAGAATAAAGCATAGGGAAATTTACATACATACCACTCAATTCTTATGTATTTACATATCTAACAAGTAAATTTTGATACTTAAAATTATAACACTTTGGTGTTATAAACCTATGCATGAAAAAGTATATTTCATCTTTCAAAATTTAGAAATAGTGGTATTTTTTAAATAATGTTGAAAATTTAAGCGGAATGCATGTAAACAACAAACTTTAGGTGTAACATATGTAAATATATAAGAATTGTGTTGCAAGCACGTAAATGTCCCTAAAACATATAGCACAACTACACGTATAGATGAAACAACAGAAAAACATCAAATTCAGAAACTTTTGTAAGTTCTACCGAGACTTGGTGTAACAGGATATAACTAACCAGCAGCGGACTCCGAAGAAAGAACCATAGGGTCAGACGAGCTTCCCCAATTACCGACAAGTAGTACTTTAGCCCCAGCATTGTACAAGTATGTAATAGTAGACAAGGTTCTCCTTGCAAATATATTGTGAATGCTCAATAGTTCAAGAAGTAGATTCGATTCAAACCGTAAAATCACAAATTCTCCATCCAATTTTTCAGCTGGGAAGCTCTCAAGTGTTTGCACATCAAGACCCAATTTTGATTCACTTGCATCACACTTATTGTCCTAAAACAAGAAATTTAAGACCAAGCAATATCTGAATTAAAAAGTAAATAAGCATGATCCATTATTTTCTAGATCATGGCCGCAGCTATCCTTCAGACTACCAAAAAGAAAAGGAAGATTTACATATATACGACAAAATCCCTATGCATTTACATATCTAACACCTAAACTTCAAATTTTACATACGTACCCCCTTGCCTATGCATGAAAAAGTATGTTTCACCTTTTAAATGTTAAAATGGCGGTGCTTTGGATATGAAAGATTTGGTTGCTATAAATGTACAAAATTAAAGTATAGGTGTTAGATATGTAAATACATAGGAATTGGGTGGTATGTATGTAAATGCCCCAAAAGGAAAAAGAAAACACACGAAATAAGTCATTTCAATAAAGGCATACATTATCATATTTTGGAATTAACACAAAACAAAATTAGGATAAGTTACCTCAGATTGAGCATGGCATTTGCCAAAAGATTTTTGTAAATCCCCAATAGAGAGTTTGTAACTTGCACAGGAATACTTCAAGTTAGCTAAAAAAGTAAATAATTAATAAACAAAACATAAAGTTTTGGCAAACAAAGAAACATAGAAGGGAAGTATATAATCCTAACCTGAATTGTACAAAATTTGAATGTTGTGCAATAAGTGCCAATGTTGTGTGCATGGCGTAAATGGACACAAAGAATTATGCTGTTGAAAAAAGGAACTAGGAGCGAGAAGCAGCCCTAATGCTCCAATCATGCTTCCCTGGTTATCAGAAGTTTGAAGTAAGACCCAAATGCAATTAGTACTTAGAAACATCAAAATAAAAGAAAAAAACTTCGGTCGAAGCCCAGAAAAAATAGCAATAATGAGTGCAAAGTAAAGTTAGCTACAAAATAAGCAGAACCAATCAGGCTAAGAAAAATAAAGGGGCACTTACAAACATACCGCACAATTATTAATATCTAACACCCAAAATTTGATATTTACACTTCTTACACCTTGGTGTCATAAGGTTATGCATGAAAAGGTGCATTTCACTTTTAAGAAGATAGTGATAGTGGTATTTTTGATGTGATGTTAAAGATTTGAGTGCTATGCATGTAAATATGAATGTTACAAAAGAATTGTGTGGTATGTATGTAAATGCCCCGAAAAGTAAAAGTAAACTTCAGCACGTGTCAACAAAAAGAAGTATGTGAAGTATACTTGTCTCACTGATCCCGAAACTGCTTATATGCAACAGTATAACAATGATTTTAATTATAGTTTTCACTTATATTTCATTTCTTTGTAAGAGTGCCAAAAACTTGATCCTGAAGAAAATAAGAATTTAATTTTTTAATTTATATATATTGGGATACTACGCAAGTATACGTATCGTTATCAAGTAATATAGGACATTTTGATTAAAACCTGAATATCGAACCCGCAGGGAGAATACGTAATATGCACTTTTAATTAGCAAACTTTCTATTATAAAAATACAATTACTTAAACTACAAATATTTTTGCATTTAAACTAGAGATGTATTTGCAGTATTAAAATTTAAATCTTTTTAGTATTTTTGATATTTTGACATAACAGTAACAAATTAAAAAGATAACTTGAGTTTATGTAAAAAAAAAGTATTAACTTTGATAAATATTTTTCTTTTTATCATGAATCAGTAGTAAGTATAGAAATTCTGTTGTAGAAGTATACAAATTGTGTTGTGTCAAAATATGAACAATTATCTTCTTTACCCTTACTAGAGATGCTATAAAGAACATTTGCTAATTTAAAGTTTGAATAGTTCTGAAGACCGGCTAAGCAGAGAAGATATCAGCTCTCATTCTAGAGTTCTCTCGACAGCTCTCACGCTAGAGTTTCATTGATTCCCTTCATTTGGGGGATAACATCTCGTATCAGAACTTAAAACAATAAACCAAGTTGGGGGGCTTTAAGCTGTCACTTTAAAGTCCTTTAACTCTACACCCTTCAATGATTATTTCTTTATTTATTTGCACTAAATTATATGAATTACATTCTCATTCATACAACCTCATGTGATTTTTTCCAATTGTTGACTGAGACAATACCAGCCCGTCTCTTACATGTTTTCACAACAAATTTTAACATCTGGATAGGCCAAATCAAGAGGTAAATGAAGTTCATGGATTTAAATCATCACAACTTCTTCCAACATTAAAGATAAATACTCTCCACAACTTCCATTCAAAATCTAATTACTTATCATTTTAAGGAGAAAGATAAAGAAAACTACTCAGAATTCGTGGAGAAAACAAAATCACACTTTAGTTTAAAAGTAGAAATCATTGTCAAACGAACAAGAAGTCTCGATTAAAATCAAAAGTAGTTTAAAACAAAAGATAAAAACTTATCTCAAATCCTCCACCAAACTCTTGAAGTAACTTTGAATCTCTTCTCTTTTACAACACTCTTAACTCTCAAAATAAAACTAAAAACACAATGAAAAAGTAAATTTTGTGGTGCCTGAATCTCTCCTCAAGATTCTCCACGATCTTCTTCTCCCTCTTCAAGCACTCTCTCCCTCTTCAAGCACCCCTCTTCAAGTGTAAGAACTTCCTTCTTTTATAAATCTCCAAGAGGTGTCTAGGAAATTCTTCAAAATGTGTCCAAATTTGATGTATTCTTCAAAGGATGCCTCCTTTCACAAGTTTTTTAATTATATTTTCGTTTCTAGTGGTCATAACCACTCTCTTTAGCCAACATGTGCCTCAAATACCTCTTTAAAATTCAGTCAAATGAAGAAAACCGCCAAATAACTGCCTCTGGCGCTTAAGCGCGGGGCCTCTAGCGCTTAAGCGCCAAAACACTTAAGCACAAATTTCACATTTTTGTTTCAAATTTGATCATTTTTAACTTCTTTTAGCATTTTTTACATTTTTACTTGTACCTGAAAGAAAACACATAAATATCTTCCATTAAAGCGCAATATCTCAAAAATAAGTATAAAAATGTGTCTAAAACACTATATATTTTAAATATATCACTCACCATCTTACAAAATTAGTTATAAACTATATGTTAGGTATGGCTCATATACCATATAAGGGACAGATGCTGGAACCAAGTGGAGCAGAGCGGAGCGGAAGAATCTGTCCAATCAGAGGAGTTTCGCTATGTGGGTTGGGGTGCGGGGAAAACGTCCCGCGGTACGGTACAAGAGTAATTTGGGAATTACATATTGTACTTCAAAGTTTTATATAGGATTATATATAGGCATGTTTATAACCCTAGGCTATTTGATGTTGTATTCTATATCTTGTACTCTTTTCTGAGATTGAAATAATCGCTGCTTTGCACCCGAGGATGTAAGCATCTTTGCCGAACCTCGTTAAATCTCTGTGTTCTTCTGGATTTGTGTCTATTCCTATTTTTCATCGCCCTAATTTCTCAACAAGTGATATCAGAGAAAGAGGGAAGAAAATTTTGGCGTAGGAAGGACTAATTTTGAAGATTCGGCAGCTAGCCTTCAGGGAGATCGAGAACTGCAGCAATTTTCAGACTCCGCTAGGGATCGAAGAAGCAGGCGGCACTTCAGCGATTCGCGCAACCAGGCGAGAGCATGAATTCCACAAAGGAGTTTGGTGGTTCGGCGAAGAGCTTCGGCAAATTCGGCCAGGGCCTCGACGCAGGAGTTCGGCAGCAGGAGTTCGACGAAGGAGGTTCGCGTGCAGTTACAGGAGCGAAGCAAAGTCTGCGACGAAGGAAGACGAGGGCTTCTTCCGAAAAAGCTTATTCCGCGATTGGTTCTTCTAGTTCTGCGAAGCAAGCTTGCGCGACGAAGGGCAGGAAGGCGCAAGACTGGTTCTACCATCTGATTGGAAGCAGGGCAGGCAGTGGAATTGTAACAGGCTTGCGGGAATTAGTTCGGTGAATTTAGGAGTTCCAGGTTAAGGATTTGTTCAAAGAAATTTGGGGGAGCAATTGGGCTGAGGTAGAGAAATTTGCAAAAATGTTTGTTGCAAGATTAATTTCATATGGCAATTTCTGGTGCAAAATTCGAGGTGGTGAAGTTCGATAGAACTGGTAACTTCGGATTGTGGCAAACAAAGGTAAAAGATTTGTTGGCGCAACAGGGAATCTTAAAAGCTTTGCGGGCAACGAAACCAAATTCCATGGAGGATGAAGATTCGGAAGAACTGCAAAACCAAACGGCAGCAATCATACGCTTGTGTCTGGCAGATGGGGTTATATATCACGTGTTGAATCTGAAATCTCCATGGGAGGTATGGAAGAAATTAAAAACTTAGTTTATGTCTAAATCTCTAACGAATAAATTATATCCGAAGCAAAATTTATATGGGTTGAAGATGCAAGAAGATTTTGATCCGGCGCAGCATGTTAATAGCTTCAATCAAATAATCACGGATTCATCACGGCTTGATGTTAGTATTGAGGATGAAGACCGAGCAATGATTTTGTTGTGTTCATTGTCTTTTTTTTATGAACACCTGGTGACTACTCTAACATATGGGAAAGAAACTATCAAAGTTGATGAAATTACTGCAGCATTATTGCCTCACAATCAGCGGAAGCAGAATGCAGTGAAAAGCACTCATGGCGACAGTTTATATGTTAAGGATAAGCAAAATCGTGAAAGTAAGTAAGACAGAGAGGATTTTGGAAGGCGGAAGACAAAATTCCAGATCAAAGTCTAAATACAAAAAAACGATTCATTGCTACAAGTGCAAGGAGCCGGGTCATATGAAGAAAGATTGTCCAAAGCTCGAGAAGTAGACTGATGAGAAACGTAATGCATCATTGAAATCTGTAAATGTGGTGCAGAGTGACAATTCAGATTGCAGTGACGGCGATATGCTTTCAGTTTCATCAACTCAGTTCAGGAATGCATGGATTCTTGATTCATGATGCTCTTATCACATAACACTAATAGGGAGTGGTTTACTTCATACAGGTTAACTAATTCTAACTCAGTATATTTAGGTGATGATAGATACTGCAATATTGTTGGTATTGGTGAAGTCATAATTCAGATGTATGATGACACTGTTAGAACATTATGTGATGTCAGACATATTCCATATTTGAAGAAGAATTTGATTTCCATGGGCACTTTACACAGAAATAGTTTTATTCCCAAGGCCAACGAGGATAGGGAAACCATCAGAATTGCTAAGGGTGCGTTGATTGTCATGAAAGAAAAGTTAACTGCAGGTAATATCTACAAACTGTTGGGGAGTACAGTTATAGATGGAGTTCATTCTGTGGAGTCAGATGATGATAATACAAAGATATGGTATATGCGTCTGGGTCATCTTAGTGAACGTGGAATGGCGAAATTGCATAGAAAAAAACTTGCATGGTGTTAAAAGCTGCAAGCTCGATCTTTGTAAGTTTTGTACTCTTGAAAAACAGACTAGAGTCAGTTTCATGACTGGAAAGCACAAAACTGAAGGGATTCTTGATTATCTGCATTCTGATGTATGAGGTCCTACCAAAGAATCGTCATTGGGAGGATCTCAGTATTTTGTTACATTTATTAATGATTTCTCCAGAAAACTTTCGGTGTATTTCTTGAAGCAGAAATCTGAAGTATTTTCTAAATTCAAGCTGTGAAAAGCTGAGGTGGAGAACCAAACGGACAGAAAGATCAAGTATTTGAGATCTGATAATAGCACAGAGTATACAAATTCACAATTTGAGAAATTGTGTAAGGAGCATGGGATTCAGAGACATTTTTCAGTGTGCAATACACCACAACAGAATGGTGTGGCAGAAAAAATGAACAGATCTTTAACTGAAAGAGCAAGATGTTTGAGGCTGAATGCAAGGTTTCCTAATAATTTTTAGACAGGTTGTGAATATGACATATTATTTCATCAATAGATCATCTCGGACATCGTTAGGTGGCAAGGTTGCAGAAGATATATGGACAGGTAATCCAATTAATTTTGATCATTTACGAATTTTTTGTTGTCCTGCTTATGTGCATGTACCTGGAGATGAAAGATCAAAACTTGATGCAAAATCCAAAAAGTGCACAAAAAGTGCACATTTCTGGGCTACAAGAAAGGTGTTAAAGGATACAAGTTTTGGGATCTGATTGCAAAGAAGATGGTGATCAGTAGAGAAGCATTCTTTGATGAGCAGTACATGTTGCAGCAAAAACAAGACAATATGTCAAAGAATAATTTCAGTTTAGATGCAGTGCAGATGGATTTAGAACAGCATCCAGAAACAACTAAGAGAGTTAATGGTTCAAATCCAACACCTGGTGATTCAATTCCAGATGATCTGCAGAATTATAATCTAGTCAGAGACAGACAGAGACGCATCAATATAAGGTCTCCTAGCAGATTGGGTTATGAAGACTTGGTCTCTTGTGCACTTCTCATCAGCAGCGATGATCCTTCAGTTACAGGGTACGTTGATTCAGACTATGCAAATGATTTGGATGATAAAAAGTCTACAACTGGGTATGTGTTTACTCTTGGTGGAGGGCCTATATGTTGGAAATCAACAATTCAATCTATTGTGACATTATCTACAACTGAAGTTGAGTACATGGTAGTAGTTGAAACTGCAAAAGAAGTCTTATGGCTTGCTGGGCTAGTAAAGGAACTCGGCGTTGAGCAAGATGGAATTCAGTTGGATTGTGACAGTCAGTGACATTTATCTGGCTAAGAACCAGGTGTACCATGCGAGAACCAAGCATATTGATGTCAGATATCACAAGATTAGAGAATTGATTACTTCTAGTGAGATACTATTGCAGAAGGTTCATACTGATGAAAATGCAGCTGATATGTTGATCAAGTCAGTTACTATCAACAAGTTCTTGCATTGCTTGGACTTGTTTAATGTTTGCAGTTGCTAGAGAAGCATGGTGGCCCAACCCACTTCAGTGTGTAAGAAACTCCATGATGCATTTCTCCTTAGGGGCTGGATATTCGCCAAGGTGGAGATTTTTTAGATATGACTCATATAACATATAAGGGACAGATGCTGGAACCAAGCGGAGCAGAAGAATTTGTCCAATTGGGGGAGTTTCATTATGTTGGTTGGGGGTGCGAGCGAAACGCCCCGCGGTAAGGTACAGTGGTAATTTCAAAATTACATATTGTACTTCAGGGTTTTATCTAGGGTTATATATAGGTTTGTTTGTAACCCTAGGCTATTCGATGTTGTATTCTGTATCTTGTACTTTTTATAAGATCGAAAGGAAAGTCGTCGATCTGTTCCCGATGACGTAGACATCTTTGTAGAACCTCCTTAAATCTGTGTTCTTCTAGATTTGTGTCGATTCCTATTTTTCTTCGCCCTAATTTCTCAACACTATAGTTCGCTAAATTTGTCGTGAACATGTAAGCATTAAAGCCATTTACTTGAACCAATACAGATGTGACAGCTCAGTTCACAATTGCAAGCAATTAGTATTGCAGAAAGATCAATATTAGCAAAAAAAAAAAAAAAAGCTGTCATTTCTATATTCACGATCTACCATGCAAAAGATGAAACCACACAATTTTGCTTTTCAGGGAGCTTAATTTTGATCAGCAAAATTTTTTAAGCAAGCATAGAACTTGATGCATCTCAAAGAGCTAGAACCAGATTTTGATTCATCCAGTTTAGATAGAAAGGTGGGGAAAAGAACCACACATAGATAGGAGATTCTATACAAATCAAATGCTGTTATTACAACCTTAGATTTGGTTATTAAAAAGTTGTTTCTCGCCATAGAAATTTATAAAATCCACCTCTATTTTAGCTAGGATGAAGCCTTACCACGGAGCCTTAATTGCAGCCCAACAAGGTTGCATGGGTAAACAAAAAATTATCTTTGTCTCTTAATCTTACCTTATAACCAATCAGTTCTGAGAACATATAGTGAGGATTTCATGTGCCCATGTAATCATAGGTAGGCCTTATCTTTTTTGGCATTGGCATTACCCATTATGAACACTCAAACACAAATGCCTTCAAGTTTAAGGGCAAGCAGACTATATTAAATCCCGTTAAACCTAAAGAGATTGCCCCACAACAGTTGTGAGATTCTCCCACACCTGTAGAGAAAAAAAACCCTTCATTTCATCATTTTACATGAATTTGAGCAAGAAGTTATGGAAATAACATATTTTACCTAGTTGTCTTGATTGCCGTGAGATAACTCACAATCAAGTCCCTCCCACCAGAGGTGGTAGACTTCTATCCAAGTTCTAAGATTTTTGTCCTAAATAACTCCTCCATAAACCTCCCTCATTATGTAGAATCCGCTATGCCATAGATGTGATTCTTGGATCTTCACTCTATAATGTAAGTCACAATCAGATGAGCCTAAATGGTCATGTAAATATCAGATCACCTATCAATGATTTATAGCTCAAAGGCTTCATTTGGGAGAGTTTATCCCCTATGGTCCCAACCCTTCTGACACTAAAGAAGGATGGTACTTAGTTCATGTACACAGATAGCCATGTCATCAATAATAACACTATCAAGTATAAGTTTCTCATGCCTCAACTGGATAGCATGTCTCATGCCTCAACTTGATGACATGTTAGATATGACGGTTGATGCAGTTATATTTTTTAAGAGTACAAACCATCAAACTCACAAGCATGAAAAAGAGAATGGAATATAAGTTTCAAAATGGAGAATGGGTTGTATGAGTGGTCGGTGATATCATCTGACTTAACCAACACTATATCATATTCATGTGAGTGACGACTCGAATCTTGTGCCTCTTTTGTATTTTCCCTTTTTGATTAATATATAGGGAGCCGAATAACGCTCCTTTCCCATATATATATATATATATTGATGAAATTCTAAATTTTAGTCTGATTAAGGATGATCATGCTCGTCAAGTTTTCAAGGCACTTTGTATAGAGTGGCATGTACATCTGAAGAAGTGTTTAGATGAAAGAGATGAAGACTCGATTACAACTTTTAATAATTAGGAAAAAGGCGCTACTTTCCACAAACAACTTAATTTTCCTACTCACCATAGAGATGAAAATATCACTAGGAGACTGCATGTGCAAAGACACCAATTAAGGCCTGACATTAGAATCTAAAGCTTTTTGAGATTTACTTGTTGTAATCTCAAACCTTCTCATAAAGTATTCTAATATTAAACTTACCTCCCAAGCAAGACATCCCACATGTCATAGTTTTCTAGCTTTGAATTACAATTATCAAATATGAATCAACATATTGGGGCATTTACATATTACATACATACAGCAGCCCAATTCTTATGTTTTTACATATCTAACACCTAAAGTTTAATTTTACATTTATACCACTTGAATCTTCCATATCTCGTCAAAAATATCACAATTTTAAAATACACCTTTTCGTGCATAGGGAAGGTGGCATGTATGTAAAAACTAAAGTTTTGGAATTAGATATGTAAATGCTTAAGAATTGAGTGGTATCTTTGTAAATCTTCCTAAAATGAATCCTTCTACGCATATTGAACTGAAAAAACAAATAGATTAACAGCTTAGGAGAGTATTATTTCAGCAGAGTCTTACCCTGCATCTTGTCTACCCTTATGACTCAAAAAAAAATAAAAGATTTTTAAAGAATATGTGTTGATAGAAGAATCATAAATGCAATCGTTGCCAAGCATAATCCTCATAACTATGCTAAAGGACATGCTTGATCTAGTTTTTAGCTCAAATTTCATCTCCAAAATAGATTAAAAAATGTAGCTAATTGACAATGAGTGAAAAATATATATATAACTCTTGATAAAGTGTATGAATGGATAGAAGTGTCTTCAGGTTTTCTAATGTTCATAATACAGATAAGTCTGATGAATACACCCATAGCAGTCCAAGCACCAGAACAAAAAAAGTATTAATAATAATAATAATAATAAATAGAAAAAAGAGAGATTTACATACATAACGCTTAATTCCTATGTAAATACATATCTAACACCAAAACTTTAATTTTTACATATATGCCGCCTTATCCAACGCATGAAATGCTGCCTTCCACTTTTTAAAGGTTAAAATAATGGTCTTTTTGTTGTGATATGAAAGATTTGGATGGTATGAATATCAAAATCATAAGTTTAGGTGTTAGATATGTAAATACGGAAAATATCAAAATCATAAGTTTAGGTGTTAGATATGTACATACGGAAAAAAAAAACTTTAACAACAACGGCAGTGTTTGGATCCTCGTAATCCGAGTGAAAGCAGATGAAAATTAATAACAGTAAAAAACTGATAAGCTCCCATCCCATCAATGGCCGCCGATTAGCAATCGCCCAACAAATCGTTATAGCTTCATTTTATTTCCCTCATTGTTCTCCTTCAATCCAAACAAAGCCTACATGAAGAGCCACCGGCGATGTAATTACTTGACATGAGCACCGGCGCCGAATTAGCTGACTGCTGTTAGTTTGTGCGAACGTCGGTGAAATGTTCCAGATTTTGTTTACAATCACAAAAGAAGCAGGATACTTTCATCTCTTACAGAGTTAGGGTTTCCAATTCCAAAAAAGAAGCAAAAAATAAAAATAAAAATTGAGGAAGAGTCGACCGCTACACTCAAACTGCAGCGAAGTACCAGGAAACAGAACATTTGGATTGAAAGGTGATTAGGTGGAGAAATTCAACAATGGAGGTTTGCAGGAAGAAGAGAATTTGGCACCTTTAGCTCTGTTGCTTCGCCTTCAACCTTCGAGAACCAGAACCCTCGGACTCTTGATTACGGCGACTACAGCGGCCATGGAGGCTTGGAGTGATATCTTCAGCTACTTCCTAAAATATGCTCAGAAGGATTTTTACAATAATAAAAATAGTAAGTGAATATCAATCATCTTAAATATTAAATATAATATTTTAATTCATCTAAATTTAAATATAATATTTGAATATCACTCATCTTAAATTAAAGTCTGTTTAAATACTATACTCAATATTTTGGATTTGATATGTAGCTAAACAATCATATTTATATGCATAGCATTCAAATTTTTAATATTATTCTAAAAATATCAGTGAATTAATTTTTAATATTATTCTAAAAATATTAAAAATTACTATTGAGCATAGCGAATAATAAGTTTAAAATAGATAAAATTAACTTGTTTTTAACAAAAGCAGAGATTTGAAGAAATATAATTAATGTTAAGAGTTGACAATAAGCTCTTAATGTAATTTTTATTTTGAATTAATATTAATAATACTTGGCTTACATTTTCATAACCCATCTCACACGTGCTACGGGCTTCCCACGTGTCAATTGACGTGGGTCCCATAAAAAATATCATTATATAATTATTTATGAACTATTATGAGGTGCAATTTCTATGTGATACAAAATTAAATTAAAATTCCGGAAGAAATTTACATTATATAGGGAATAGGGATGTAGTATAAGAAAATATTAACATTTTATTTGTATATGAACCAATTAAATATTAGTAATGTATCAATTTTTTTTTAACTCTTGATTGATATGTCATGTTCGTTTATATGATCGAATGTCGCTTAATTGAGCCAAAAATTAGAAGCTAGATAGTTCGTCGGGTTGAACAAAATGTACAGCCTAAGCTAGATTTATTTTGTTGTGAAGTACGGCTCGCTTTGAAGATAAATTGACTGATATTGAATCATATTAAAAGCTGAGCGGGCGGATAAGGATGTGATCCAACGGACTTTATGAGAAACAACTATCAAAATATATGATGATCAAAGATGTATAATAGTAGTTCAATTATACTAGTCATAATTGTGTTACAACAAATTTAGTTCTTAGTGATAAAAAAATTGACTGCAAATGTCATGATTGGTTGCTAAAAACACATTTCATGAAAGTTGTAGCATCAGTTTGGTCATAAAAATGATGGTTGGACATCTAGTAGTAGTTGAATGCATGAGTCGTAGTTAGTCAAATATGACGTAATTGATACATGTAGTAGTGTCAGCGACAAATTTCATGGTTGGAAGTTGCAGTTAGCAATCATCCACATAGGTCGTGGTTGATCGCACGGTTTGTAGTTGGTAGCTACAATAGTGTTAGTTGGCCACAAAAATCGTAGTTAAAAGCTGCAATAACATATAGCCAAATATGTTATAGTTGGTCTTATAGATCATTGTTAATAACTGCAGCAGCATCAGTTGGCCACAAAGACAGTACTAATAAGTTGTAGTGGTAGTTAGCCACTTAGTTTGTTTTTGTTCATTTTTTCTCTTTTATTTTTTGAAGGAGTCATCATCTTGTCTATTTACAATCATCGTATTATTCACTTATTCAAGTAAATCTCCCTTCTTGATAAAATGAACGATACGAATGAGAGAGGAATTGAAAGAAAGGATATACGACGGGCAATAGGCAAATGAGAGAAAGGAAAGTGGAGTACTTTTATAAGTGAACTTCGCACGGATAACTCCCAAAGCATACATCTAAAACAAGATCGGATCGAAAATAGTTTGGAGATATTCCATGAAGAGGACCTTACAAAAAAACCCACAATCAGAGACCCAACTATAAATTTCTGTCATGAGGCAAAGAGCATTTTCAAAGAAACATATTCATTTGGCTAATTACATCTTAGGGTATTCCCATGAAAACTCTTGATAAAAGGGATCTTACTTGCATGATTGAATTAAATTTGATTATTTGGGAAACCAATGAATTTACATCTCAAGGGAGAATCCCGATGCTTTCGACAGATATTCCTGAGGGTGAATCACCGTAACCACTACGGGCAGTGACGCCCAGGCATGCGGGGCCCACAAGACAATATCAATGATTTGTCAAAGGAATTGACATGACTCAAAAGAAGTGTCAACGAAAAGGAAAAGATTCACTAAAAATGTAGAGGTAGTCGGGTCAGAATACCACGGATTTGTCATTCTAAACTATGTAGAACTTAAGTCTACTAGCTGTGAAGGTAATCGATCCAACCCAACTGGAGACTCATTGTAAACAATTCGTGAATTGTGTCTTCAAAGAAAGTCTTGGTAGCCCTAAAGTAAGTGAAAAGAAACTCTAATCCAATGACTATAAATAGGTAGAACTCAAGAGGTTGGGCTTATGCTCACCAAAGATGGCAGAGCTGACATTAGAAAGAAGAGAAAGGAGGTTCAATTACAAAACTGGAAACACTCGCATGAAGAACTTGTACCTCGTATGGGTCAGGGATGTCTGCAACATCCTAAACATATTAGACAGCCTCATAGGTAAAAATTTATGTTAGGACAGTCAAGTTAGAGAAGCACTAGGACTTCTACTCTAGTGTATGCATATGATGCAGTTGTCTACCACAATTCTATGACGTGAAAGAAACTAGGAAATGCTCAATTTGGAACAATTATTTGTGTAATCTAAAGGAAGGAAAATTAAGAGATCTCAAAGATACCGAAAAAACCTCAGTGACATCTCAAACTAACCTATGATTGAGCTTTTCATCATTGAAATTGAAGTTATTCAATGTTTCAATCTTGCAATTTATTTAGAAATTTATGAATTATATTGCACAACATACAATCATGCAAAAGCTATAAAAGTGTGAGGATTTGCGTTATACCAAACAAATAACCCTGAAATACTACAAAAATAAGACCTATATTAACCAACACCATCTGAGATAACGTTGAGGGTTTAGTTAAGGTTCATCTTTCGCTTCGTGTTTCATTTTCTTTCGAATGTCTCAGAGGTTGAAAGTTGATTAATGATAACACCACCTAACTCTATAAAAAAAATGTTAAAAGAACAAAAAAAAACGCGCTTTGAAAGGCCTATCATACGTTCTTATTATTCACTTATAGTAATGTTACAAAACAGTTTTAGATTAGTGTTTATCATAACAGAAGTGATCACTGAAAACTACTCACACTCTTGCCCCCACCAAGAGACAAATTCACCGCCATCCTCTATTCAATAACACCCTATTTTGCAATATCCCTCTCCACAATGTCCGCACTACCTGCAGTGATGCAACGTCATTCTCAAGGTTGGCGTCAGTATCTATCGATACAAAATCAACTGTCAGGATTTACGTAGCTGCATCAAGAAAAAAGAATACAACCATTCAAGGTGCAATTTAGACCACCTATTCAATATCTAATTTAACACCCTCACCATACTTCTCTGGTTTTTCACCCACAAAAGAAAAGCCACCCTTCGGTTGATGAAATGATGTTTCCGCCCTGGTCATCGCCTCGCCCTAACCATCTCGAGGGAACGTTGCCCCCGCTACAGTCACGACGGGCTTTTCTTTCCCTCCGACGGAAAAGTCAATTTTTGATGGGTGCCTAGTAAAACGATCGTCTGAATGACCCATGGCTTATTTATAGCCGCCAGGACATTGAAATCTAGGAAAGTTCATTATTGAGCAATAATATCGATTAATTATTTTTTACATAGTGTTTATTTGCATATATCGAGAAAAAAATTCCCTTGTCCTTGTGTTGTACAACTTCCGATGAGCAAGAGAATCAGGGGACTAAATATGTATACGAAAAAATATGTAAGCATGAATCTCAAATTGAGAGGACGACTCAGAAGAAAGGGACGACTGATTTTATAACCAGTCGACTGCGCCTATCGACGACCGACGAATTGGATGCTAAGGAAGAGAACATTGGATCGACGATCAACAGATTGCATGCTAGCGCAGAGAACATTTGATCGATGTATAAGGAGATTTCCCCACAATACAACAATCGACTCTCTTCTTACTGACTGAATCAATCTGACAGTCTTATTATATTCAAATATCTTTGTAATCACTAAAAGACACCATATAAAGCTAATGTGAGGGGGCTGATCTGTAACCTTGTAAGATTGAGACCTACTCCTATAAATAGATGGTTCATATCATGAATAAGGGTTACACATACTCTACTATTCTCTACTATACTCTCTTTCCAGTGTGACGTTCTATACCTTGGACGTGTTTCCCATACACTTTTGGTTTCAACAGCCAAATCATACAATCATGGGATTAACTTGTCCAAATTTTTAGTATAAAACTCACACACACACACACACACACACACACACACACACACACACACACACACACACACAGATATATATATATTCATAGCTATTGAGTGATATTAATGTAAATGCCCCCCAAAAGAAAGGAAAATGCTACAGTGGTGGTTCCCACCGCCCATGGCATATGTTCCCTATTTTTCAAAAATTCAAGCTGGCGCATGTTGAAGTATGATAATGAAATTGAAATAAAATTAAAAAAAAAAAAGGAGATTTACATACCTAGCACACAATTCCAATGTAATTACATATCTCACCCCTATCCTTTCATATTTATGCACACAACACTTTGATGCTTTAAATATAGATAATAAAATGTGTATTTCACGTTATTTTTCATGTGATATTAAAATTTTGAATGTTATATATGTAAATATGATATTTTAAATTTGAGAAATGTAAATACATCAGAATTGTGTGATAGGATAAGTAAACGCCCCCAAAAAAAATGTACAAATAATTGAATTATCATTATTCAAACTATAATTTATGAATTAGGCAGGTGATTTATGAATTATATGTAGAATTTTGAGAGATTTATGGGGTTATTTGATCCAATAAAAAATTGATAATGCATGAATACATCTTTTTATAAGTATAATTAATTTATTTTTAATATTTTATTCTATTTCCCTTAAACTACATGTGATTGTCCTTCATCAATAAGTATAGAACATATGTTCATGGAGTATTTATGGCAATTCATTATATTCATGTGGTTAGGTGAAGAGTTGTGGCTTCATTTTTAGGAAGTTCTAGATTGGAATAAATA